TAGCTTAGGGCCTCATCAACTCTAAATCCAGCCCTGCTTGATATCAGCATAAAATCAACACTCTCCTTTTTGAAAACTGAGTGGAGGGAGGGGAGGGGAGGGGAGGGAGGGTTGGTTGATACTCAGTAGTCTCTCTCTCTCTCTCTCTCTCTCTCTCTCTCTCTCTCTTTCCCTCTTTCCCACAAATACCATGAGTTCATCATACAGTCATACCTCGGGTTGAAGTAGCTTCGGGTTGAGCGTTTTCAGGTTACGCTCCGTGGCGACTCGGAAATAACGGAACGTGTTACTTCTGGGTTTTGCCACTCGCACATGCGCAGACACTCAAAAATGATGTCACGTGCATGCGCGGAAGTGGCGAATCGCAACCCATGCACACGCAGACGCGGGGTGTGTTTGCTTCAGGATGCGAACAGGGCTCCAGAACGGTTCCCGTTTGCATCCAGAGGTACCAGTGTATGTTCACACAGAGAACATCCATGAATATCATTTGCACTTACATACACACTTTCAGAAATTATGCTAACCACTCATAATAATTCTGCACACTGCAGACATCAACTGTACACAAAGGTCCTAGAAATGTCTGGTCAGTTTAGTTTATTTTCTTTTTAAAACAAATTAATAGTTGGTATATTTGAGGAAGGGTCATCGTTCCCTGGTAGAGCATCTGCCTTGGTTGCAGAAGGCCTCAGCTTCAATCTGCAGCATCTCTGTGTAGGACTGGGAGAGTCCTGGAGAACCACTGCCAATCAGTGTAGACTGTACTGAGTTAGATGCAACAATGGCCTGACTCAATATAAGGCAGCTTACTATGTTCCTATTTCAGAAGATAGTGTTAGTATAGGTAGAAAGGCTTGATTTGGCTTAGGGTTTTCCCATTCATATTTCAGTGGACAGAAATAACCAATAATCTATCTCTCTCTCTCTTTCTTTCTTTCTTTCTTTCTTTCTTTCTTTCTTTCTTATATTCTTTATTGATTTAAAATACAAACATATGCAAAAATATACAAAATCATTACAACAGAAATGAAGGTAAAAGAGACAGAAATGACAACAGAAATGAAAGTAAAGAAAGAAGTCAAAAAGGAAGAAAAAGAACCAAGAAAGAAAGAAAGAAAGAAAGAAAGAAAGAAAGAAAGAGCTATGTACAAAAAAGAAAAATATCTTCTTGAATAACACTTAAATAAAAATTCTGGATGTAAAACTTCCAATCGTTCTCATTATACTGTTTGTACTGTCATTAATTTTTTCGCACAGTTTTATATTCTTTTATATCATTTCCATCTAGTCAGAAAAATATTTGTTACCTGTTTTCACTTACAAGTAGCATTCAAGTTCTGCTAATATGGTAGGATTAGTACAATATAATCTTAAGTAATCCTTAAATATTATCCATTCTCCATGCATTTTCTGATTTAAGACTCCTCTAACTCTTCCTGTCAGTTTTGCTAGTTGTAAATATTGTATCATGAATATATGCCAATCTGTTATCGTTGGTAGTATTTCACTTTTCCAGTTCCTCGCCACAAGAATTCTCGCTGCTGTAATTGCATACATGAACATTGGTCTTATATATATTTTAATTTCTAATGGTAGTATACCTAAAAGAAAAATCTCTGGGTTTTTTTTTAAAGGTTAATTTCAATAGTTTCTTAAATTCATTGTAGATACTATTCCAGTATTCACCAATAACTGCACAAGTCCACCACATGTGTTAGTATGACCCCCACATCTTTTTTACATCTCCAACAAGTTGGTGATCTTCCTTTATACATTTTAGCAAGTTTTAAAGGAGTGTGGTGCCATCTGCATAACATCGTCATGGTGTTTTCCCTTAGGTTATAGCGTGCTGTAAATTTAATATCTACCCTAAAAAAAGAAAAGAAAGAAATATGAAGGGAGAGTGGCCTACGTACCAATTAATTTTAGAAATAACCAATAATCACTTTCTAATTCACATGTCAAAGCTATACACATGTACCATTGTCTCTGAGGTTTCCTGCAATAGGACTCGTGTTGTTATTTTTCCTTCACCAGCCAGGTCAGTGCACATACCACAGGTTTCATAAGTGCACACACTGAAAGTGTCAGTTTGAACAACAAATGGGAACAAACTTAGTTTTGAGTGTATCATGTATCAAACAGATATGGTCGTAAGAGAACCAGGACTGATTGTGGTTCCCTGATGAATGTACTCGCAGTGGCAAATCTGCAAAGGGATCTCATTGATAAATAAATATGACCTTTTTGTATTCATCTTTCAAATTCAGGCCTGGTCCACACATGAACAAAATAACAAGGTGGTAGGGTCCAACTTTCATTTAAGCACTTTTCCATTGTTATTCCTTCATCTTGGAATACTCCTTATTAAGGCTACCTGACCATTTGTTTTCAGCATCTGAGCAAAAATACCTATATAATAAACACTGCATAAACATAAATTTAAAAAAATTAAAAATTGTCCAGTAGCACCTTAGAGACCAACTAAGTTTGCTCTGGGTATAAGCTTTTGTGTGCATGCACACTTCTTCAGAAAAACAGATACTTCAGATACACAGATACTTCAGATACACAGAAGCCACCAGACCCTTATATATGGTGACTTCTGTTTCAGTGTATCTGAAGAAGAGTGCATGCACACAAAAGTTTATACCCAGAGCAAATTTAGTTGGTCTTTAAGGTGCTACTGGACAATTTTTAAATTTTTTAAAATTTATTTCGACTGTGTCAGACCAACACGGATACCTACCTGAATCTAGATTGCATAAACATGACCTCCTTCATATGATGATGATGATGATGATGAAAAAAGAGGAAAGGTCTAGCTCAGTCTTTCTTGACTAAGAAATGTTTTGAATTGTAACCATCAATATTCTCTGGTCACTTGCCATGATGAGAGCTGCAATTTAAAGTATATGAAGGGCACCAGACTGAGGAAGGCTAATGTAGCTCATCCCTCTCTGAACTGTTAGTTTTTACTTTTGTGGTGGTAGTGATTTTACGCAAGGAGGCAGTTAAAAATGTGATTCTGCACACAGCTAAAAGTGGTATAGCTCTACCATTATTAACATTCTGAAACTCTTATGTTTTATTCTGTTGCATTTGCAGATCCTTAGCTCCATTTAAGCATTACACTGCAGGTTTATACACATATACCTGTAAGTCACATTTAGTTCAATGCATAGGATTGCATTGCAAGTGTCTTTTGGACCCATCCGAAACACTAGTGGCAAACTGAATTAATTTTGAGACAGGGAGGTCTTTGGAATTTTGCCCAGATTCAGGATGCAAGGACTTCACTACTGATTGCCATGCCCCTGCTAAATCAACTAGTTAAATTATGTGCAGTTAGTAAATCATCCTCTGAATTTTTAAAACGTCATTTTCATTAGCATTTGTAGCTTGATAATTAGCAGTGTATTATTTTTTCAGAGCTACAAGCCTGGCTGACACAAGAGTGATAAGTGATTATCATTGTGCTGCTGACCCCCACACGCTCTGTGGGGCTGGCCTTGAGATTGGTTCAAAAGCTGTAGCTGATTCAAAACATTCTACTCACTAGGGCAGGATGTTGCCAATGTGTTGCCAGGCTGTTGAAAGCATTGCAATAGCTGCCAATTAACTAGGCTAAGTTCAAGGTGCTATTTGGGTGGGGGTGTATTATTCTATGCAACTTGGGACCAGGATACCTGGAAGATCAAGCAATCATTGTGCTTTGCAGGCAAGAGCCTCTTACAGATACCATCTTACCAAGTGTGCAAGAGGGCTATTCCACACAATGTAGCAAACAGAGCTTTAGTGTTGTGACACCTACCCCAAGGTATCCCCTCCTCCTCCATAATATTAGACAGGCACCATCTCTGTTGTCTTTTTGGCACCTGCTTCTTCCCGGTCTGCATCTCTACGGGATTGTTCTTAAGATGTTTTAAAGATTAGCATCATCATCATCATCATCATCATCCATGTTCTTTCCTGTTCTGGCTTCCTTTGGGAGGAAGGATGGGGAATAAATTCAATAAATTAATAAGTGGACTTGGAGGCTACCGTGATAAACCTTCAGGTCCAAACATTGTCTGTGTTACTGCAAATTCAAAATCTTGTCAGGGACTTGACCCATCTTCTTAACTTAGTTGGTATGTTGTAGGAAACTGCCCTGTGCCACTTCAAACTTTTTGTTCATTTAGGTGGGATCCTCTTTAAGGATGGTCCTGGTTGTGGGCAGGCCCCCAGGCTGGTTCCTCCCCCCCTGGCATGGGCGGAATAATGCCGTCATGCCAGGGTGGCACCATGATCACCCCGGCTTCTTGGCCAATCACTTTTGTGTGGGGTGATCATGGGGGGGGATATAAAAGTGGCAGCGTGACGTGTGTCAGGCAGCTGCTTCATGCTGCCAAACACCCGCCCACCCACCCTTTATTTTAGGTGTCCTCTGGCCTTGCTTTGGACTTCGATTGATTACCTGTTTTGGGATAGGGACCAGGTAGGAATTTTTCCATTTGGCAGATTGGCGCTGGCCACTTGGTTTTCGCCTACCTCTTAGCAATCGTCACAACTTTGTAAGGTTTGGCGGTTAGGCATTGGCTCATTGATTTGTGGGGGAGGGGAGGTCAGCCATTGCTTCCCCCTCCATTGACCAAGGGTATTCCGTTAAAGGAATCCAGGGTCTGGATCCTGTCCAAAGTCTGCTTGAGGGGCTAGGGCCAGGCCAGGCCTCTGGGGACACTGAGGAGAGCTACAGGCAGGTTCCCCCAATGTGGCTTCCTCTTTGGGTGGTTTACCCTTACTGACTTCCTGCAAAGGGGGCAGGAGTCCGATATAGTCCTTTGCCAATGCCTAAGCCAATACCACTCACATTTCTGTAATCAATAAAGTTGTGGCCTAAAATTCTGCCCAATAACCTTAAACCAAAATTCTGTGTCAGTGTGAATTTTATTCTAATGAGGGGCTGGTTTGGGGGCCTTGCCAGGCAACCCACTAAGTTGGATCTCTAGGCAAACGGTGTAGCTCAGTGATAGAACATCTGCTTTGCATGCAGAAGTTCCCAAGTTCAGTCCCTGACATCTCCAGGAAGTGCTGGGAGAGACCCTGGTCTGAAATTGTAACTGTTGCCAGTCAGTATAGACAATATTGAACTAGATGGACGAATGATCAGGCTCAGTAGAAGGTGACTTCCTATGCCCCATGCTGTTAGCCCAGTGGAAGGCATAAGCACCTTGTCTTAGCTACTCTTTGGGATTGTTGTGGCAGTTCAACATGAACTGCAATGCAAGAAGCATGTAATCATTATTATTGCACTGGCATCAATAGGTGTTGGACCATTGCATTTAGCCAACATCTCCTAATTGTGTGAAGGAGCAGGGTTGTGAGTCACTGCTGGGGTAAGGCAATGTGCATTATGACATCCTCCAGCCTGCTGACTAATCTCTAATTTCTTCAATTAGTGAATTAAATACAAATTGTTTCAATATTCTGGGCATTAATGAAGAGGGAAGAAAATATTGTACAAATTGCTTTCTTTCGGGGGGGATAAGAACTTCACTTCCTAACATATAAAATGGGATGAAGCCATAGGGTGCCTCCTGTAATTAGCACTGCCATGATTTGTCTGAATTGCAAAGCCAAAGCCTTATTTCCCTCCCTTAAATGGTTTCTATTAATTCTCTGAATAAATGAAATTAGATTGGATAAAGGTATTGTCCTGCATTGATGCCTGGATAGAATGAAGCAGATTATAAAGGGACATGCGCTCCACTTCCTTGAGCAGAAAGAGGTTCCAGGGGCTTTTGTTTCTTTTGGATGAAAGAGAGTGCTGGAGACTTAAACCGTCTTTGCAATATCTACTTTATAGACAGGTTTAAAACACTGAGTGCAAATGGGAGCAAATGAACACTCCAGCAGTGCAGAAGACACCCCAGACAGGCTGCCTCTATGATTAGACAGAGAAAGGAGGATCTCAGGAATTCTCTCCCATGAGAGATAGCGATGGTCACAAATTCATGGAAGCTAAACCTACCAGTGGTTACTAGCCATGGTGGCTATGTCCTAACACCACTGCCAGAGACAGCATGTTTCTGCATACTTGCTGTCAGGAATCACAAGTAGCAGATCCCTGTTGCATTCAGGTCCTGCTGATGGGATTCTCATAGTTTTGCCAAGATCCTTGGCTAGATAGACCTTAGGCCTGAACCAGCACTGCTCTTATGTGATTGTGTTCTTTAGTCACATGCTCCCAAATCTAGCTCATTCAAGCATAGTGGAGGATATTGTGTTGGAGTTGGAGTCAGCTTTAGGTTGGCTTTTGTATGTGGACTGTGGGGTGGGGTGCGCGAGCACCATCTTGTCCTTCACCAAGATAGCAAATCATTCAGTCCTGCCCCTAAAGGGCAATTTGGATAGACTATAATGTTATACTCCCTGTTTCCAGCTAACTGGAAACCTTTGGAGCATTCTTTCACCTCCATCAATTCCAGGAGCAAAGCAGTATATTTCAGAGTCACCCTGGACATGGTGATGAGGGAGCCTCACATATGTTATCAGTGTGTCAGCCCCATTCACATTAAGCTGTTAACCTTAATTAACTCTCAGGGGAGAACACTGGCAAAAAGAAGGCAAAAATTGGATCTTGAACCTGGGAGAATGAAAGTTTTTTTGGCCTTCTGGGTTTCATTGTTGAGCAAGGGAAATGGAGAATCCAATATAAAACAGTGCATGTCAGGCAAGGAATGGTATATTTCATGGGATGGATGAATCTGTATATTTCCAGTCCAATCACTTCCACATGTGTTAACTCATAAATTTGTTCCATCCCATTTTTGTGTTTGTGTTTTTCGGGTGTTTTAACCTGACCTAAAATTCCCACTTAAGTAGGTTTTAAAATATGCATTTCTAAATGCATTTTCTCTTAAAATACACATTTCTAATGATACTTTTGTGAGCCAAGAATTGCATCAAACATTCAGGAAGTGTGAAAACCAGAGTATAACTTAGCCCAGTTCTGCAGTTTTGTCTCGGAGGTGCAGATCAGGTCAGTCCGTGTTGAAACTTGCAAATAATGAATTCCTCAAGTATGCCTAACAGCATGGGCTGACAATAAAATACAGCATGGGGGACCTGATCATACACACAAACATTATATAGTGTTACAAAGAGCAAAATTTGATCATGTCAGGAGTTGTCTGAGTAGATACAGAAAAAGTCAAAACTATGGGTAAGATTTAAGGATGTGTTTGTTTGGACATTTAAGGATGTGTTTGTTTGTTAAGGGATGCGGGTGGTGCTGTGGGTTAAACCACAGAGCCTAGGACTTGCCGATCAAAAGGTTGGCAGTTTGAATCCCCGCGACGGGGTGAGTTCCTGTTGCTCGGTCCCTGCTCCTGCCAACCTAGGAGTTCAAAAGAACATCAAAGTGCAAGTAGATAAATAGGTACCGCTCCAGCGGGAAGGTAAACGGTGTTTCTGTGCGCTGCTCTGGTTCGCCAGAAGCAGCTTAGTCATGCTGGTCACATGACCCGGAAGCTGTACGCCGGCTCCCTCGGCCAATAAAGCGAGATGAGCGCCGCAACCCCAGAGTCGGTCACAACTGGACCTAATGGTCAGGGGTCCCTTTACCTTTACCTTGTTTGGACAGTAGACAATCAGATTTGGGTTTCTGATAAGCCGAAAAACACATTCTTAATTGTAACATTTCCCACTTGCCTTGTGGCAAGCTCATGTTAACACCCCGTTCACAAAACTCCTTACTGAAAATTCAGAACTTAGCAAGTTAAATGTTTAAGGAAGTTAACTCTTATATGTTAGCATCATGCAGCTGAAGAACAATTCAGCTGCAGTAAAACTACAATGAACAGCTTGGGTTTAGAAACTTGACTTTAAAATAATGTTATTCTAGCCACTCTTTCCTGAGTATACATGAATGGAGAGAAATACTTGCAGTGGATCATTGTGGCACAGATGTGGCATTTAGGTACATGTGATCACAGAAATAATCAACACTGAGACCTAAGATTCCATACATTTTGTATAGTCATTCACAACTCCATTAAACCTCCAGGGTCACTCACTAATTAAGAACTAAGAGGAGACCAGAATAATTAGGGAAGTGAAATCCAAGTCCTATGGTGCAGGATCTGTAAATGGCAACTGTGCTGAATACATAAAAAAGCCCCCCCTTTTTTTTCTTGCACAAGGACAGGTGTTCTGGGAACTTGGAGCCTTGGGACAAAAATACTAATTAGTTGAGATCAAAGGGTATGTCAGGACTGAAGGACAAACTATGAGTAAGTGAGAAGTTGGTACTGAAGAGCAAGGCAGAACAGAAGGAAAGAAGCATGAGGTAGCCATATTAGCCAGACACCAGAAGCAGGGCTGACCCAAGACATTTTGGGACCTGAGGCAAACCACACAATAAGTAGGAGAAGACCAGCAGTGCATCTTATTTCCCAAGAGCATTCCTTGCAGGCCAGATCGCCAGCTCCCAGTGTGTGTAAGAGCCACTGTGGTGTAGTGGTTAAGAGCATTGGACTCGTAATCTGGTGAACCAGGTTCTCTTCCCCACTCCTCCACATGCTGACCTTGGGCTAGTCACACTTCTCTGAAGTCTCTCAGCCCCATTCACCTCACAGAGTGTCTGTTGTGGGGGAGGAAGCGAAAGGAGATTGTTAGCTGCTTTGAGACTCCTTAGGGTAGTGATGAAGCGGGATATCAAATCCAAACTCCTCCTCCTCCTCCTCCTCCTCCTCCTCCTCCTCCTCCTCCTCTTCTTCTTCAAGGATCCACCTCACTTTGCCACTTGGCCCTGACCAGAAGTCATGGGATGATGAAGTCAATAATCAGGATCAAGAAGGACAAAGCAGGAAGCAGGTTTGAGAAGCTGGAAATCAGAACCAAAGGGCGACCAAGAACACCCCACGGTTCAAAACAAACTTCTTGCTCAAATATGGCTCAGTTGGAACTGGAGGCATCTAATGATCTTTCCTGTCCAGGAAGATCCAATACCAGCCTGGCTGGCTGGATCAGTTGGGGGCTTAAGGATACTGAGGTACCTAGGCAGATGCTGCAATATGCAGTTCATTGGCTCTTTGTAAAGGGCAGTCACACAGAGAGCTGACATTTATGAGTTTGTGCCCTTGACAGACTTCAGTCTGAGGGTCAATGTAGTTAAAGCAACCTTAGGACATAGGAAAGTCCTGCTGGTTCACGCCAGTGATGCATTTAGCCCAGCATCCTCTTCTGGGAACAAAACCTGGGCACAAGAGCAATTGGTACTCAGAAGCATTAATGCCCCCAACCTTGAAGGCAGAGCATAGCCATTGATAGCCTTATCTTCCATGAATTTGTCAAATCTTCATTTTTCTTTAAAATGAATCACAGATTGCCACAGAAGAACTGAATTTCAGATTGGAAAAATGAGAAGTAGAGAGAAGCAAAATTAACAGATCCACCCACCCAGACTGTAAACTTTGTGCCCGCCAGTCAGGTTGATTGCTCAGTAAACAGGCTGTCTAGAGAATCAGCAATGATTTAATTAAGGTAGGGGTTTCAATTATTTTAAACATTCAGGGAAGAACTTCTGAGCAAAGCTAAATATAGTTGCTCTCTCTCTCTCTCTCTCTCTCTCTCTCTCTCTCTCTCTGTGTGTGTGTGTGTGTGTGTTGTGTGTGAGAGAGAGTGAGAGAGAGAGCACATTACTGACAAAAATGTAATAATTGTGTTTCCTTGCCTCCATAACATATACCAATCCCACATCAAGCTATAGTTCTCACAGTTCCACTGTTTAATACAGACAATGTTTTTGTTCCTCTTGTCAATGAAAAGATTAAGCTCTCTGATTATACCAGTCATCCATTAGGGCTCTCCTATATGGAATAGATAAAAGAAGAAAAACGCAAAGACTTCTCTAATTAAATAATTCATTTATTTTTTTAAAAGCCATATTTTTGTACCCATTTAGTTCATAATATAAACTAATTTCCTTTCAGTGTGTGAAAGGTGTGGGGGAGTACTATATCAGAAAATATTAAACTTCTGTAATTGCATGCAACACATGCCAAGTTTAATTTTACCTTCC